AAGAGTCTAATGATGACCATGAACGCATTGTCGATTGTTGGGAAAACCCATCTGGTTCACTAATGTCCTTTAGGGAAGGAAACTGCCATCCTTACCTGGTCTGGCCTACATGTGACTTTAGACCCACAGCAATGTGGTTGACTCCTAACTGCCCTCTGGCCAATAAATGCTCCCTAGGGGTGGGGTCATGAAGCCTCAAATGGATTTTAAATCAAAGATAAGAATTTTAAAGTGGAGGTGTTGCTTATTGTGGGCTTGGTGTTGGTCACTGAGCCCAGAGAGGATGGTAAATTGGACTTTGTGCAAGTTTGGGCATCAACTATGGGATGTTGGATGGATTCATTTAATGGGGAAGATTGGAGACCAGCAAGGGGTGTGTTGGAACAATCAAGTTTAGAGGGGAGGAAAGTATGAGTCTATGAGACTCCCATTCCCCAGTTTCTATCACATTCACAACTTTGAGGAAAGTTCCAGAGAATCACATGATCAAATCCTTGGTTGCCATCATTCCAGATTCTCCCAGACGTGCCAGAGATTGGTGGATAAATCTCCAAAACGCTGCAGCAACCAAGGACATGGAGAAAAAAGGCAGAATGGTTTTTATTCTCTTTGAACATGCGTATTCACAATTAAAAATTGATCAGGGATAAATTGATTGACAGACAGGAATTCTCTAATCGCATAATGGAGACTATGGAGAGGTGGGGCTTGGTAGGGATAGAGTGACCAATGATAGGAGAATGAAGTGGTAGGTCTGAGGGCAGCCAGATTCCTGTGATAAAACCTCCAGGAGTCCATTGGAGTGGAGTTGGCAACAGCTAACTCATGACAGCCTTGGTTCAAACATGAGTGAAAAAAGAATAACATGCAGGAGAATCGTTCCTACCTGTTTGTTCATGAAGACATAGATAATGGGGTTGTAGACGGTGGCGGTCTTTGAGAAATAGGATGGCATGGAGGCCAAGGTCGGGTGAATCACAATGTCCTTATCCACAGCAACAACCAAAGCAAACGTTGTATAAGGGAGCCAGCAGATCAAAAAAGCCATCACCATGGCCACCACCATGCGGCTAACCTCTCGTTCTGCTCGCTGTGTTGTCTGACATTCTTTCTGTTGCTGAGCAACCTGCAGAAGGAAGCAGTGAACATAAGTACCAGGAGTAGGCCATTCAAACCCTGCTCTGCCATGGCTGATCTCGTCTCAGCCTCAACTTCACTTTCCTGCCCGCGACCCATACCCTTCAACCCATTGCTCGTTGAACATCAGTCTATCTCCCCCTTAAATTTACTCAATGTCCCAGGATCCACCTGCGGTTGTGAATTCCACAGATTCATGACCCTTTGAGAGAAGTAATTCCTCATCATCTCTGTTTTAAATTTGCCCTCCCCTTAGTCTAAAACCATGACCTCTTGTTCTGGATTGCCCCACCCTTCGTTGATCTTTAAAGGTTTCCCAATTTTCCAGCCTACCACCCACTTTTGCGATATGGTATGCATCAGTTTTTGTCTCAATATCATCTTTAACTTCATTGCTTAGCCATGGATGTTTCTTTCTCCCCTCTCTAACAATCTTGCTTCCTCTCTGGCTATCTCCTCAAACATCAATCAATGGTCATCTCTACCTGCCCAGTTTTCCTGCACAGTTCACAAGGACCAGATCTGTCATAGGGTCATACAGCTGTGCAGCCTGGAAACAGACCCTTTTGACCAACTCATCCCTGCCGACCAGATATTCTAAATTAATCTAGTCCCATTTGACAACGTTTGACCCATGTCCCTCTAAACCCTTCCTATTCATATACCCATCCAGATGCTGTTTAAATGTTGTAATTGTACCAGTCTCCACCACTTCCTCTGGCAGCTCCTTCCATACACTCACCACCCTCTGCGTGGAAAAAGTTGCCCCTTAGGTCCCTTTTAAATCTTTCCCCTCTCACCTTAAACCTATGCCCCTCTAATTTTGGACTCCCCCGCCCTGGGGAAAAGACCTGGCCGATTCACCCTATCCAAGCCCCCCATGATTTTATAAATCTCTATAAGGTCACCCTTCAGCCTCTGACGCTCCAGGGAAAATAACCTCAATCCATTCAGCCTCTCCCTGTAGCTCAAACCCTCCAACCCTGGCAACATCCTTGTAAATCTTTTCTGAACATTTTGAAGTTTTAACCATCCTCCCTATAGCAGGGAGATCAGAACTGAATGTACTATTCCAATAGTGACCTAACCAATGTCCTGTACAGTCACAATATGATCTCCCAACTCCTATACTCAATGCATTGACCAATAAAGGCAAGCGTACCAAATGCCACCTTCACTACCCTGTCCACCTGCAACTCCACATGTCCTCATGTCAATGGAAGTAGCTTTGTTTAATTCCAGAACACTAGTGTGGGACTCCAGTTTCTCTCCCTCCAACTGAAATTCTAGCATGCTGTGATCACTCTTCCCCACAGGATCCTTTACTATGAAATCATTGATTAACTCCACCTCATTACACAATATCAAATTAAGAGGAAGGTTCACCAGACCCAGAAACGTTATCTCTGATTTTTCTGCACAGATGCTGCCAGACCTTCTGAGGTTTTCTGGCAATGTCTGTTTTTGCTCCAGAATAACCTGCTCCCTGATTGGTTCCACAACATTCTGCTCCAAGAACCAATCTATAAAATATTCAATGAACTTTCCTTCAAGGCTAATTGGATTAACCCAGTCTATATGCATATTAAAATCACCTCCTGATTATTGTTATATCTCTTACAAGCCTGGCGTATTTTCTGGGTGATACCATGCCCCACTGAGGATCTACTGTGTGGGAATCTATACATTACTTCCACCAAGGAGTTCTTTCCCTTGGGCTATTTCTAATTTCTACCCAGTCTGATTCCATATTTTGATCTCCGGTGCTGATATTATTTCTCACTGATCCCTCCTTTACTGACAAAGCTACACCTTCTCCTTCTGCCACCTGCCTATCCTCCCAAACAGCTCACTGATACCTTCTAGAGTCTTCTCAAAGAAATGAAATTCATCAAGATCAGAGAAATAAGCACTGTCCCCCATCAAACACTCCCAGGACAGGGACAGCACGGGGTTAGATACAGAGTAAAGCTCCCTCTACACTGTCCCCCCATCAAACACTCCCAGGACAGGGACAGCACAAGGTTAGATACAGAGTAAAGCTCCCTCTGCACTGTCCCCCATCAAACACTCCCAGGACAGGGACAGCACGGGGTTAGATACAGAGTAAAGCTCCCTCTACACTGTCCCTATCAAACATTGTACACGATGAAGCAGCCAGTGTGGGTATGAAGTTGCACATGGCTGGGCCTATGCTGTAGGCTTGTGTGAGGAACATGAGTAAACTGGATGGGTCTGTATGTCATTGGGTTACTATCCCATCCCCACTGACTCTCACATTCACCGAATACACCTCCTTCCGGTGGGTTTCTGTGGGGAGAGGGGCTGCCAGCTGCTGAGGTGCCCTGGGGAAGGGTCTGAGGGTGTGGGACAGAGGGACAGGAGGCAATTGGGGGAAGGGAGTACACAGCAAGTGGGAGAGGTTTGGAAGCCTCTTCCAGTAATGGCAGTGGATGCTGGTTCAGTTGCTCATTTTAAGTTGGAGATAAATTTTTGTTGTGCAAAGATATTCGAGGATATGGACAAAAAGGCAGGTATACAGAGTTAAGCTGCAGATCAGGCTCAAGGGGCTGAATGGCCTACTCCTGCCTGTATGTTGCTCTGAGTTGTGGGTACATGAGGAAGCAGGACAAGAGGAATGGCCTGTCTGCCATTCCCTGTCAAACTTTGCCAGGGCCAGGACCTGAGGAAGTGCCCAAGTCTCTGGGGTGCGGGTAGAGTATAGACAAACAGAGCAGCAAGGACCTCCCCACCCCCACCCCCATACTCACAGCTCGGAGAACCACCAACAAACTGACATAGGAGAAGATGATCAGGCTCAACGGCATCATGAAGCAGGTAACAAAGAGAGCGACCACATAACTGTTGTTGTTACTCCCTCCCGTGTACCAGTTTGGTCCACAAGATGTTCGCAAACCTAATGCCCAGAAAAGAGATGGTTTTAATAACTGACCTGTCACTGTACAGGCACAGGGTACACAGTACAGGCACACTCAGCCAGTACACAGTACAGGCACAGGGTACACAGTACACGCAAACTCAGCCAGTACACAGTACAGGCACAGGGTACACAGTACATGCACACTCAGCCAGTACAAGTACAGGGTACACAGTACACGCACACTCAGCCAGTACAGGCACAGGGTACACAGTACAGGCACACATAGCCAGTACAGGGTACACAGTACAAGCACACTCAGCCAGTACACAGTACAGACACAGAGCACGGTGTACACAGTACAGGCACACACAGTCAATACATAGTACAGGCACAGAGTACAATGTACACAGTACAAGGCACACACAGTCAATACATAGTACAGGCACAGAGTACAATGTATACAGTACAGACACAGTCAGTGCTCAGTACAGGCACAGTGTACAGTACAGGCACACAGTCCATACACGCACAGTGTACAGTACAGGCACACAGTACAGTGTACATAGTCTGAGTACATGCTGCAATTATCCACTACAAGTACACACTAAAAGTACACTGGGTGGCTACAGCCCCTGCCTGACAAATTGGAAAACTGCCCATTTAGGAGTTGGGACGTCATGTTGAGGTTGTACAGGAGGTTAGTCAGGCCTCTTCTGGAGTAGTGTGTGCAGTTCTGGTCGTCCTGTTATAGGAAAGATATTATTAAACTGGAACAGGTTCAGAAAAGATTTACCAGGATGTTGCCAGGAATGGAGGGTTTGAGTTATAAGGAGAGGCTGGATAGGTTGGGACTTTTTCACTGGAGTGTAGGAGAATGAGGGTGACCTTATAGAGATTATTAAAATCATAAGGGATATAGATAGGGTGAATGACAGGGGATGGGGAAGTTCAAAACTAGAGGGCATAGGTTTAAGGTGAGAGGGACAAGATTTTAAAGGTATCGGAGCGGCAACGTTTTAACACAGAGGGTGGTTTGTGTGTGGAATGAACTGCCAGAAGAAGTGGTAGATGTGGGTACAGTTACAACATTTAAAAAGTGTTGGACAGGAAGATGAATAGCAAAGGTTTAGAGGAATATGGGCCAAACGCAGGTAAAAGGGATTAGTTTAGTTTGGGAAATTGGTCAGCATGGACAAGTTGGAACAAAGGATCTGTTTCCATGCTGTATGACTATATTGTCAATACACAATGTGAGTGTGTAATGCAGGTTGTCATGGATACAGACTCTTCACAGCTTCCTGAAGGACAGCGGAAATTCGGAAAATGAGTAGATTTCACAACTACTGTGTACAGTTCTGGCTGCCCTCCTAGAGGAAGAATATCATTAAATTGGAAGTTTAAAAACACTTCACCTGACGAAGGAGCAGCACTCTGAAAGCTTGTGATTTCAAATAAACCCGTTGGACTAAAATCTGGTGTCTTTCTACATTGGAAAAAGGTACAGAAAAGGTTTACCAGGACTGGAAGGCAGAGATTGGGGAAAATGAACAGCATCAGGAGTAACAGTATACAGCAAACTCCTGGGAGTAACAATTTGAAACTGGGGAGGTTATTTATGATGTTGAGGAATAAATAGGACACCAAGGGAGATCTCCCAGTCTCCCTCAGAACAATGCCACGGAATCTTTCCCATCACCGTGACAGGGGGCAGATTCATGCCTCCTTTAAAATCCCCGTTCCAACAGGGCAGCACTCCCCCCAGTACTGCACTGGTGGGGTGGCCCAGACCACAAGCTCAAGTCTCTAACAGGCTTTTGAACCGCAATCTTCTGGCTTAGAACTGGAGAATAGCCCACTGAGCATAAAGATAAAAGGAAGGGGGAAACATTAATTCTACCCTCAGAGAAATGTTCTTCAGGAGCATCCCATGGGTCTCTGATCGGATTGTTGCAGAAATCATGAAGGAATGGGGAGAACTGGAGAAAGGACGGAAATTATTCTCTCGGGTGATACCGGAATTGAGAGGTTCTGTCTCCCACGAGAGGTTGAAGAGATTGGGATAGTTTTCCTGGAAAAGAGAAGACCGGGAGGTGACCTGATCAAGGATTTTAAGATTATAACAGCGGTTGACACAGTTACTGTGGAGAAACTGGGTCATAAATGTAAGATAGAGGCAGTCAGCAATTCAGGAAAAGACTCCTTTAGCAAAGAGTGTTTAAATTGTGGAACTGGGGTGTGCAGGAAAAGGTTAGAGCGATGTATACTATTGATATGGTGAAGAGGAAGCTGAGTAAATGCACGAGGGAGAAAGGAACAGAATGATATGGTGAGAGGGTGGGAAGGGGCCTGTGTGGAACAAAAACACTAGCATGGAGCAGATGGGCTGAATGGCCTGTTTCTGTGCTGGGAATTATTTATGATTCTCTATCCGAGGGGGTAGGGCATGCTCAGATTGTGAGTCCATTTCAGACTGAAATGGATCAATCTTTGGACAAAGGGAGTGTGAGGGTAGGGTGGGAAGGTGGAGCTGAGGTAAAAGGTCAGCCATGATCTTATTGGACAGTGCAGGAAGGGGCTGAATGGCCTACTGCTCTGTGAGTGTTTTTTTTGTAATGTAAAGAACAGTCCAGCACAACAACAGGCCCTTTGATCCACCAAAACCTGTGCTGACACACAATACCTTTCTAAAGTAAAAACCCATTGCCTCTACATGGTCTGTGTCCCTCTATTTGCTGCCTATTCCTGTTACTGTTAAACGTTACTGTTGTATTCACCTCCATCACCTCCTCTGGCAGCACATTCCAGGCACCTACCATCCTCTGTGTAAAAATCTCGCCTCTCACATCCCCTCGAAACGTACCCCTTTTTACCTTAAACCTATGTCCCCTAATAATTGACATTTCTACCCTGGGAAAAAGTCTCTGACAATCCATTCTATCCCTGCCTCTCATCATTTTGTAAACTCCTATCAGGTCATCCCTCAGCCTTCGACATTCAAGTGAAAACAAACCACATTTGTCCAACCTCTCCTCATAGCTAATACCCTCCAAACAGGCAACACCCTCTGCAAAGCCTCTGTGTCTTTTGTGTAGTGTGGCGACCAGAACTGTACACAATAAATGTAATGCTTTGTCAATTGTGTTTGAGGTGGCTGTGTGCCCAGAATATTTGTCCCCACGTTGTCTTACCCTCAGGTACATAACTACTCCAGCCCAGGAGAGGGGGCATTGTCCACACCAAAGACCAGATCCAAGTGAAGAGACAGCCCAACACTGCGTGCCTCTGTTGGAAGCGGAAATCGCCCATCGGTTTGCAAATGATGATGTACCGCTCGAAAGCCAGGATCGCCAGCGACCACAGTCCCACAATACCTGTCAGGAGCAACAAACAAGACGACTGAGTTGCTCCCCTTCCATAGAACAGTACAGCAAAGTTCAAGCCCTTTGACCCACGATGTGCTGACCTATTATCCTACTAAGATCAATCTATCCTGCAGACCCTACATTATACTATCATCCATGTGCCTATCCAAGAGTTGCTTAAAAGTCTCTAAAGTACCTGACTTCACTACCACTGCTGGCAGCGCATTCCACACGCCCACCACTCTCTGTCTATCCCACTCTCTGTCGCTTGTGTCACCCTCTAAGCCCTCTCTGACACCTTGAGCTAACGTGGTGATTCTACCGAAAGTCCTCGTCCTGAGACCCCTGGTTTTGTTGCTGCTAACTCACACCCTGGCTTGGAGTCTCTCGTCTCCGTTCGTGAACAGTGTCCACTCACTTCCTGAAGGGAGTTTTTGGGTGTCCTCCAGACTCCAGGAAACACTGGATATCTTCTCCATGAGTAGCCATTTATCAACATCAAAAACACATCAGTATTGTTCCCAACAGCCTGCCTTCCCCTGTCCATCAGCCTTGTTTATGGCTGTCCCTTGGCAGAGGTTTGGGACATTTATCAAATAGTGGGATCAGAAAGGATAAAGGCACCAGATACATGGGAACACCACTCCCTGCAAGTTCCCCTCCAAGCCACTCACCATCCTGACCTTTTTAATTCATTCACAGGATGAGGGGCATCGCTGGCTAGGCAGCATTTATTGCCCATCCCTAATTACCCGGGGGCAGTTATGAATCAACCACATTGCTGTGGGTCTGGAGTCACATGTAGGCCAGACCAGATAAGGATGGCAGTTTCCTTCCCTAAAGGACATTAGTGAACCAGATGGGTTTTTCCGACAATCGACAATGAATTCATGGTCATCATTAGATTCTTAATTCCAGGTATTTATTGAATTCAAATTCCACCATCTGCTGTGGCGGGATTCGAACCTGGGTGTCTGGATTAACAGCCCATCAATAATGCCACTAGGTCATTGCCTCCCCCTAAATACTTGCAAACATATCGCCGTTCCTTCATTGTCGCTGGGTCAAAATCCTGGAATTCCCTCCCTAAGGGAAATTGTGGGTCAGCACATGGACTGCAGCGGTTCAAGAAGGCAGCTCACCCCCACCTTCTCAAGGGGCAACTAGGGACGGGCAATAAATGCACTTGCCCACTAGAGATGGGGCTGATTACCCCATTCTGTAACCATTAGCTTTGGCCCAGCGAAACCTGGGCGACATGTCACAAAGTGGTTAACAGCTCCAAACAGTGATGGAGAAAAGCAAATGGAATTTGCCTCGAGAATAAAAATGACACTTCTGTTAGACAGACCCGTGTTCCCCTGCACTAATTAGCCCCAGTTCTGGGCTCCGTCCGCACTAATTAGCCCC